GAAGGACTAGAAGTATCACATTTTCATTTGGGTGCAAGCTTTGGAGGATTATTATGAACGGATGGGAACAGTTCCACGGCCAAATTATATCAAGGTGGGTGATGGAAACAGAATTAGATTTTGGTGACACAAGCGAAGAGGAGAGAACGTTTTGAGAATTGCCTTTCCAATTTATACAAAATTTCTAGCCAAAAATAATAGACAATGCAACAGACTCAAAGGATACATAAGGAGGACGTGATTTGGGATCTTACATTCGGAAGGAATCTACGAGATTTGGAGATGGATGAACTCCAAAGTTTAGTAGAATTACTCTACAAACAGAATACATCGCATGCCATGCATGATAAGGTGGAGATGAGAGACGGGCAAAGATGGACAGTTCTCGATCGTATCATATTACTAGAAACTTTTGGTGATGGATGAAGTGGAGGCTCGCCAAATTTGCTTACATGTAGAAGACTCTAGGTTGATAATTTTCTGTTCATATTATGCTTCAGTTGCAAGATATGTCTTTGGAATTTGTAAACAATGTAAAGTACAGAAATAGGCAAACACAAAGAGAGTAATGCATGCGCATATACATATCTATTCGTGCATTTATATACATCAGTCTTGGTGTACGCGCATTGCACGTGTACCCTATATCAAAGAAAATAATTTTTTGTAAAAATAATAAAATCAATGAAGTGGAGGCTCCCTTCCGGTGTCTTGTGTGATAAGAATGTGCCGCAGAGACTTAAAAGGTAAGTTCTACAAGGTTGTAATTAGATCGACTATGTTATATGGAGCAGAGTGTTGACCGGTCAAAAACTCTCATACCCAGAAGCTAACAGTAACTGAGATGAGGATGTTGAGGTGGATGTGGGCATACCCGGTTGGATAAGATTAGGAATGAAGTTATTCGGGAAAAGGTAGGAGTGGCCCCTGTGGAGGATAAGATGCGGAGGCGAGGTTGAGATGGCTCAAGCATGTTAAGAGAAGTACAGAAGCCCCGGTTAGAAGGTGCGAGCAGTTAGCCTCGGTGGGCAGCAGGAGGGGTAGAGGTAGGCCTAAGAAGTCTTGGGGAGAGGTTATTAGGCGGGACATGGCGCAGCTGATGCTGACTGAGGACATGGCCCTAGACAAGAGGGTGTGGAGGTCAAAGATTAGGGTAAAAGGTTCGTAGATAGTCGAGCGTTTCTCTTTGTCTTACTCAATTCGCTAGCATTAGTGTTAGTATGATATCTTTTATTCATAGATGGCTATTACTACCTAAAGTTTGACTGCATTCATGGTTCCGATCTTATTTCATCTTGGTGTTATTCCTACTTGTTGCAATTACCTTTTCTTTTTCAGTCGTTCTCTAGCCGAGGGTCAATCGGAAACAGCCTCTCTACCCTTCTAGGGGTAGGGGGTAGGGGTAAGGCTGCGTACATCTTACCCTCCCCAGACCCTACTTGAGGGTAACTACTGTGTTTGTTGTTGTTGTTTTTGAAATGGGAACAACAACAACAAACCCAGTAGTTACCCTCAAGTAGGTTGTTGTTGTTGTTGTAAAAATAATAAAATGATACTTAAAAGATGTATTTGCATTATAAAATAAAAAATTACAAATAAAAAAAAATTGCAAGTGCCTGAAAATAATAAATGTTAATCATGTTTAGAATTTTTCGAATCCACTCTAGCGATTCTTCCTCTAGTTTTTCCCGTAATCGCTTCATTGTACAAAAATGTTATAAGAGTAGTATTTGATTGAAAGGTAAAAAGGTCGTTCGACTTTACTTGAGGCGCTAAGTACGTGCGTTTATTTCATATTAATTTTACAAAATCAGAGTCTGATAGTTTTCCAACAATTAAAAAGTCTTTACCCACAATTTACTCAATTTGTGAGAATGCTAAAACTTGTACCCTTATCCTAATCATGCATTAGTAATCACATAATCCGAACTCGACAAATACTGATGGCAAAAAACTTTTATAAAGAACTTAGAGATCCCAACAATTCTTTTTGAACGTGGAGTTGTATGAAGTTGCACCACTCAAGAAGAAATCAAGTTAAAAGAATGCTAGGATAATCAATAGATGGAAAGTCAAATAAATATGGTGTCAAAGTCCAGTAAAATCTTATTGATTTTAATGTTCTAATTTTAGGACTTCCTACATAGTGTAAATAAGAAAAAATTGGATGATTAAAATTTTAGTCGATTCCAAAGTCCTAAATATTAGGAAAACAATCAAATGACTTTTTTGTTCAGTGTGAACTCTATTTTAAAGGGGTAAAAAAGACAAACGATATTACGCTAAAGCCTTCATGCTTTTAATATAGTATACATTCAATAGTGAAAACACAAGAAGCATGTACCCACATAAACAGATAACTTAGGCAGGTATAGATACATGAGCCAAAGGGAAAAGTGACACAAATAAGAATTAAAAAGGGCAGAGAAGGTACCATTGGTGTCCATGAATTCTTCTTCTTTGAACACATCTCTAATGCCGGTTCCCTTGTGAAGCTGATACAAGATATCATAATGGTCATTCTGGTCAATTGGAAACCCCATAAAGGCAAAAATAAACATCTTGGAAAATGGAAACAGAGTACCGTTCATCTACCTCTCAAGTCAGCTATACCTTTGCCATGGCCGATTTAATACGATGCAACAACTGTTTTGCATTTGTTTTTCGTGAGCCACGCAGAATGCAAATGCCAACACTCAAAATCTTCTCAATGTCATCACGAGAATCAATTGATCCACAAATGTTTAGAAGCTTCATGACATGTGAGACCAAATCAGTTCTTGAATCACAGCGTCGACAAAAATACTCTGCATCCAAACCGATGCTTCCTCCAACTGTCCCAGCCATATAAGCTCGTAGAGCGCAGTCTATATGGGCTATGTGTCCACAAATGTAACCATCAACACCTGTTGCTTCACACCTAATGTAACTATACCCACCATAAGCAGAACTAATAGTTTTACAACAAAGAATACAACAACAATCTCGGCAAAAACCAGGCTCACTGCAACAAAGGTCACAAATCATGGTCTCTGGACTAGGATTCTCTGCTACTAAACTGGCACACACACTGTTACCAGCCTTACAACTGCTGCTTCCAAAATGAGAATCAGGTTTCATGCCTGAAGATGTGACCTCAGCATACCAGCCACCTATAATTTTCAAAGAAGTCAAATTTGAAATCATGTCACAAATAACTTGTTTAAGCACAACAAGAAACACTAAAAGATTTGCAATCCACTGACAGGCGACAGCATTCAAATTTATAATCAAAGAGGAAATTCACTCAAAATGAGAATTTCGAAGATGAGCTAAAGAAATAGATCTTTATGAGCTTACTAGCTAGTTGTAATGGAGAGAAGGAATGAAATTTAAAAAAGTAGCTTCATGCACATCCTCAAAGTGAATTTTTTTTTATTTTTTGATAATAGTAACAAATTTTATAAATGAGTAAAATATTTACAAGAAATTGTGTAAGCCACAATCAGTTCCCAAAAGATCTGAGACTACCTAGCCTATTCTGTTCGATTACATTTCTTCTAGTAAATCTAGTAAAGAATGTACATCCTCCCTATAGCTCTCTTTGCACCAAAAATGAAATAACAAAAACAATTAAGCTTAATTTTTTGGTAAGAGCTAGGCCTATCTTCAAAAACTCTGGCATTCCTTTCCTTCCATATAACCCACCAGATGCAAGCAGGAACTACTTTCCATCATTTCTTCTGTTTAATATTTGCCCCTCCATTGTTCGAGCTACTGAGAAGAGATGCAGTGTTATTGGGCATTGTCCAAGAGATTCCAGCCAGATTGAGATAGAAATGCCAAAGTTGAGTAGTGACTGGACAGTGTATAAAGAGATGGGAAACTGACTCCCCATCTTTGCCACATAGACTGCACTTAGCATGTAGCTGAATTCCTCTCCTAATAAGATTATCCGGAGTTAGAACAGCTTCCCTTGCTACTAACCATGTGAAGTATAAGACTTTCATGGGCACCCTGACCCTCCAAATTTGTTTCCATGGCCATCCTTGAGTAGGATTAGGAGTATTGTTGATGAAATGATAAACAGATTTCACTGAAAAGGATCTTGATTTGTGACCCTTCCACATTAAAGCATCTTCCTCTTCTGTGAGACCTTGGAAAGCTTCTAAGGTCTCCCAGAAATCTACCACACTTTGCAACTCCCGGTCATTTAAGTTCCTTCTGAAAACAATGTTCCACCCATGTGTGGATTTTGCTTTTGCTACTGAAATTCTTGGATTCGCAGCAATGTTATACAAGTCTGGAAACTGATCTTTCAGAGGAGTGTGCCGAAACCATATGTCACACCAGAAGAGAACTCCTCTTCCATTTCCAACCTTGATACTAGAATGATCAGCAATGACCCTTCATTGTCCCCTAATTGTTTTTCATACACCAACTCCATGTGGGGATGATACTAGTTTGGTGCACCAAGGTCCTCCATGGCCATACTTCTCTTGTATCACCCTTCTCCATAAAGTTGCTTCCTCCAAACTATACCTCCATAACCATTTTGCAAGGAGACTATGTTCTGTGCCTTTAGGTTTATTATACCTAAACCACCTGCCTGCTTAGAGCACAAAAGAGTATTCCATTCGACTAAGTGAATAGTCTTTTACTCACTATTTCCTTGCCAGATAAAATTTCTCCTTAGGGAATCAATATTTTTCCTCACCTTAGTTGGTATTGGGAATAAGGACATCACATATGAAGGCAGTGCATCTAGGACACTATTCACCAGAGTCACCCTGCCTCCAAGTTACAAGTATTGGCTCTTCCATCTTGAAAGTCTTTTTTCACTCCTTTCAATCACCCCTTGCCAGATTTCTTGCGACTTGTTTTTGGAGCCCAAAGGAAGGCCTAGATATTTGGTAGGTAGGTTCTCTATTTGACATTCCGGGATATTAGCCAAATTCTGTATGTTTGGAACTTCATTTACCTGATATAGCTTACTCTTTCCACAGCTAACATGTAAGTCTGCAACAGCTTCAAAGGTTGTTAATATTAGTCTGAGATGAAGCATCTCCTCTGGTTGAGATCCCATGAAAATGATAGAGTCATCTGCATATAGGAGATGTGACTCTAGGCTGCAGTTTTCTCTGTTTGACACCTTGAACCCCTTGATCCGGCCATTTGACTTTGCAGTGTTGATCATCTGATTCAGCCTTTCCATTGCCGTCAAGAACAAAAAGGGGGATAAAGGATCCCCTTGGGGTGAGCCATTAATCAAGATAGAGAATTTTACGGTGCTAAGACAGAAACGGATCCAGTTACTCCATTTAGTTCCAAAGCCCATATCAGACATTAATCTCAGAAGGAACTTCCAGTTGACATGATTGTAGGTCTTCTCTATATCCAGCTTGCATAGAACACCTGGAATTTTGCTTTTGAGCCTAGAGTCGACCACCTCATTAGCAATAAGAGAAGCATCCATGATTTGTCTTTCTTTTATGCAGGCCATTTGATGACCTCCAATGAGCTTGTTAATTAGTCTTCAACCTCTTAGTTAAGACTTTGGCTATAATCTTATAAACACTTCCAATCAAGCTAATTGGCCTAAAATCTTTAAGTTCTCTAACCTCATTCTTTTTTGGGATAAGAGCCACATAGGATGCATTTGAACTCTTCTCAAAGTATTCATTAGAGTGAAAATTCTTCAGGGTCAACATGACATCTTCCTTGACTGTTGGTCAGCATTTCTGGAAAAAACCCATGGTGAAGCCATCAGGTCCTGGTGCTTTTCTGAAGCACAGGACTTGAGGTATTCCACCACTTCCTGTTCTTCAAACTCTCTTTGTAACCATATACTTTCCTCCTCTGTTAACAAGTTCCCCCTAGCAAGATTGTAATTTGGCCTCCATATTTCAGGTTCAGCATAAAAATTCTGATAGAAGTCTATAATTTCCTTCCTGATTTCTTCAGAGTTTGTGGTAGTTTGCCCTTGCACCTCCAGCTTATCAATGTGATTATATCTCCTATGTGCATTCATTTTGTGGAAGAACTTTGTATTCTTGTCCCCCTTGTTTCAGCCATAAGGTTCTGGACCTTTGTCTGTCTCTTCATACTTGGCCAACTCCTGAATTTCCAACATGAGGCCAGCCTTTTCCAATAGCTCTCCTTCAGTGAGCCTTCTGCTTTCTTGAATCTGATCAAAGATTGAGATGTTACTGAGAGCTGTCTTCTTTCTTTTTTCTAGTCTGCCATACTCATCCTTATTCCACTCTTTTAGCTTAGTTTTGAGGAGCTTTAATTTGGTGGCTAGCACAAAATCCGGCCTACCAACAATCACAAAGGAATTCTACCAAGTCTGCACTTTTGAGGGAAACTCTTGAACATCTAACCACCAATTTTCGAATTTCAAATAAGATTTGTTGGGTTCCCATTCCCCACATTTCAAAGAAATTGGTGTATGATCAGATATTACTTTTGGGAGAAGGCTCTGCCTAATAAAACTAAATTCCTTATCCCACTCCATAGAGAAATCTGTCTATTCTAGAAGCACACTCAGAGTTGTCACCTTGGCTCCAAGTGAATTGGGCTACCAGGAGTGGAGGATTAATCAATTCCAGTTCTTCCATAGTTTCTGAAAAATCTGCCATTGCTCTACTGTATCAGTTCCTATTTTTCCTTTCATTTGCAAATCTAGTGGCGTTGAAATCACCAAATACCACCCAATTTCTATTACATAACCCTTTCATAGCACCCAACTCTAACCAAAGATCTTTTCTTTCCACTCTCTTGCATGGAGCATACACCCCAGTCAAAGCCCATAAGAAATTATCTAACATAGAGCTAAACAAGTGATAGAATATCTACCTTTTCAACTAGTTCCCCTTTCCATTCTCTCTTATCCCACATAATTAAGATGCCTCCCTTTGTCCCTTCAGCTTCTAGCTTTATATGATCAATCCACCTACTGCTACCCAGTTGTTTTGCAATACCATCACAGTCCCCCTCAATCTTCGTTTCTTGCAGACAGTAAATGTTTGCCCTCCACTCTTTGAAAGCTGATTTTATCAACTTCCTTTTCTCCGCCCATTAAGACCCCTAACATTCGAGGAAATTGTGTATCTTCATCAACTTTTAATGAGTAGTTGCCTCCCTCTGTTCCTTGGGATTCCGTCTTTGTACTTCACTCCAACTTTCAGATTCTTCCTTTCATGAACTCTTTTTAATTTTGGTGAAACTATTGTGCTTTTGTTTTTTGATCGCATCATTGCTTTCATCTCCTTTTTCCTACTGTCTATCTTCAAAAATAGAGCCATATCTTCCCATTCGCATCCTTCAAAGCTCACCGTATATTTTGCTCATCTTTCCAATGTTTCTTTTGATCCATGCAGGAACATCTAAATCACAGGTCTGTGGGTGCACCTCAATTGGTTCTGCTATATCAATATGTTGGTGTTGAACCAATTGCTGTCTGATTCATCAGTAACGCCTTCGCCTTCAGAGAGACAATCTACAAAGACTGTATGTGCGTCTTCATCCTCTGGGTCACCTTGTATCTAATTAACAAGAGGAAGATGAGAGACTAGGTTCTTCCTAGCTGGTCCTTCATGTTCCTCTCCCTCTGTAGGTGGTGTTGTGTTGAGGATAGATTGTTTGAGCGAGAAGAGTTTGCTCTTGAGCCGAGATGCGATCCTCCATTTTCTATTGCTCTTCACGGATTGTTTCTGCCACCAGAGTTTTTATTTGTGCAAGAAAAGTTTCTCCCACAGCATTTAAGATAACAGATCCAGGGTTGTCTTAATTTGTGATGATTGGATTGGGCTTAAAATAGCCCTTTTCAGCTTCCTTGATTTGATTCTCATTAGGCCCATCTTCAGTTGGCCCAACAGAATCCTTCAGTCCCACATGCTTCTCACGTGAGTCACTTAGTTGGCTCACCACCCATCTATCACCTTTAATGTGAGGCTCCCTATAAAAACCCACTCCTAGGCTAGCTACAACCTTGGGCCCATTCTCCACAAACTGACAAAGCCCCATATCTTTTCCTTCTGCCCGCCCCGACCCAACATGTTTAAAAACACCCTTAAAACCATTGACTACCCCTAGAGAACCACTACCCCTTATATCTCGGGATAAGCATCCTTATCCCAGTAACCAAACAACCCCTTATTGACATGCTTTT